ATCCATATATGTGACTAGATTCATAAGAGGCTGAAATATAAACTCGCTAAACGCACATGTCTAGTGCGACGCGTTTCATATAGTTAAAAAAAACTCTAAATATTATGAAGGAAAACGTTAGAGGAGACTTATATGCAACAGTTGAAAGACACCAATGTCTGTTTACTATTATTAAATTATTGTTATTCCTTGAATACAATTTGAGCTTGTTACGACAAAAAATCTATGGCATAAATTAAATTGGAAAAATATAGCTTAGACAACATCACCTGTGAAGATGGGCAGGCGCCTGATTCAGCAATGTATAATACTGTCGGACGAACTCACGACCGACACTTTGTGGAGAGGGAGATGCCTCCATGACCATCTTCTTACTTTTTAACTTCTAGAATATTTTTTCGCTGGAAACAGCAAACTAAACGTTCAAATGTAAAATCTTAAAATTATTAAGGCAGATATCTGAAACAAAGAAAAATACATTTTTATTAGAGAGAGAGCACCGTGAGAGATATATATATATATATATATATAATTATAATAAATGTTTCAATACATTTAATTGAACAGATCAAAAGTATAATATTAAATTGAAAATATTGATTTAAAAATACAATTAAATTTATGTTTGTTAAATTTATAAAGTCAATTAAATTATAATATAATATCTCTCTCACAGAACATATATTAATTAAATAGTATTTCTTAGAAAACACGTAGCATTCTTATTATAACGAATAATCAAATAGAAATATCTTCCATTATGCATACCAATTATGAGAAATAAATTCATAAAATTTGTTTAAAAATGTAATTAATTATATGTGTAATTTAGCGATATAAAAATGGATATTGTTAAGACGAAAGAAACCAAATTTCATCGTTCGTCGCAGATATTTCGAGAATATATTAAACGCACGCACACATTCATTATATAGACATAGTCAATGTTCTATATAAACGAACTATATACTTTATAACTCATGAATATTTTATGATTCCATTTCTAATCGGATTTAAATTACTGGCTGATTTATTCAATGCCCGTACTACTGCGCTGAATTATTTTCCAAGTAAAAATATTACGGTGATTTCCACCCATAGAATCTTCGAATTCTCCGAATCCCAAGGTATACACGAGGCCGCATTTTCTCGCATTTTCTGTTGCATGTAAAATCCATGGAAGGGAGAGAGGGAGGGGATGTGCCCTTGGGTTCTGGAATCATCGCCGGCGAGACCTCGCCGAGGGATTAATCCCCCGAGCCCTCCCGAAAATCCCGTCTTCGTTAAGCAGCGCGCAAATAATCGGAACGATACATGCGGCAAACACAAAGGGATTGGCGACGCGCGTAGCGAAGCGCATGGCAAAATTTTCGCATGCCACCACCTCTCTTCCTCTCCTCTCCCCCCTCCCCTTCCCACGAGATCTCTTTGTCTCTCTTCATAGCCTCTCGATTCTAAACCGCGCTGAGGATACTCGGCGTATCCTGCCAAGCACGTGTTTCTCAATCCCGAACGGAGAGTCCATTTCCTCACGCAACCCCGTCCCGGAGCTCCATCCGTGGAGCAGGATGAAACAAAAAAGGGACGAGGAAGAGGATCGTGAGAGGCACGAGAGAGAACACGCCGATGAGAGCGCGGATGCGATGGGAGAGGGAGATAAAGAGAGAAAGAGAGAGAGAGAGAACGCGCGGTCGCGCCCGGTCGCTCGCGCAAGCATCAGCAAGCATGGCGATGTTTCCCGATGACCCGTACAGGAACACGCCAGCGCGGAGGAGACGCGACGTCGAGAATCCGTCGGACGGGGCGGATCGCGACGTCGCGTGGGTGAGACAGCCGACGGGCACGGTCTCGAAGTGACGCGATTCCACCGTCGGAGGCGTGCGTCTCCCCTCGTGCACGAGAGAGCGACGAAGCGAGCAATCATCTCGATGTGCATCGACGAACGGACAGATATCTCGCGACGCGACGATGGCCTCGGCGATCGCAACGATGGCAACAATAGAGCGTGGGGGGTGGACTTACCTGATTTCAGGCGATCTCGCGTGCGGCACGGGGACGCAACTATCGGGGGGGGGGCACCTCGGCACGACCGGCAGCGGTCGCTTCTTATCGCGCGGGAAGCCGACGGTATCGCGAACGATTTAGCGAGGGTCGGTGATGCCTCGAGCGATCGAGCGATCGAGCGAACGCCACAGACACAGAGCCCGTAAGTTCGTGGTATTAATTATAAAAACAGTTCGCGATTTCGTATATATTCGTCGTTTACGCGGCTTGTACTTGTACTGTGTAGTGGTATCGACGGCACTGTGTCAGCAAATGCGCGCAGAGCAGCGCCAGTCAGAGGAACTGGCGATACACGAACGAAGGCGTCCTAGAGACACAGACGGGCGGCATCAATCTGGATCGGTACCGGAAGTACCTGAGCGCCGGTGTTGAACGTACAAAACGCGGAACGTCGATGTTGATTGGTCAGAAATAATGCATCTCACGAGCCGGAATCTTCTGACGCGCCATCTGTTCCTCGCCGTCCTCGTTTGACCCGTTTCCCCGATCGCACCATATCGAGCAGAGCCGATCACGTGACTGTTTCAACGAAAAAGCAGCTTTTTGAAATCCGTTAAATCTTTCCAGCAATCTATTAAAATATTCATAATTTTATTGGTCGCATTCAACACAATGTTTATTTTGCAGCTGCTAGAAGTTTTATTCGCACCATAGACATAGTGTGTGCCTTCCAACAAGCGACACAAATGACACAATGGGCGCGTTCAAGTTGACAAAGCGGCTAGCCTGCTCACCGAGCAAATGAACGTAATTGGTTATTACTTATAGATCCAACCAATCATATTCAATCGCTCGATAAGCATGCCTAGCCGCTTTGCAGTCTTGAACTCGCCCATAGTGTTGCTACTGCTCTAGCGCAATGGACCAATCACAATAAGACTGATTTAATATGTGATTGGTCTGTTATTGGTCGGCAGTCAGAGATTTTCTACGATTTAAGATCCTACGACCGTTACGATTTCTATTGTAGACCCCGCATAAGGCCGGAATCAGATTATGCATTGAAGATTGAGATTGAAGATTGAAAAATTCAAATTTGACCAATCGAAATGAAAGGAGCTAAAATTTCTTTGTCCTTATTGGTCAAATTTCAATCTTTCAATCTTCAACCTCGGCTGTGTTCTAAATTTACTGCCAGCACAGAAAATGCTACAATTTACGTTACGTGCACTATAGATTTTCAGTACTGGCAGTCAATTTTGGAACATAGTCCTCAATCTTCAATGCATAGTCTGATTCCGTCCTTACAATTGGTGCATTCAGTACTACAATCGTTTAGTGAGTGCTCAGTGAGCGCTTGCATCTTATTGGCATATTCCGTTAGAACTAAAAATATAGACCAAACAGATACAAGAACTCACTGAGCGCTCAGTGAGCGGTCGTGGTACTGAATGCACCCATTTTCTCTTTCTCTACAGAGTCTCTAATTTTATCAAAATCACACGAGAATGAAACATACATGGTATCTTTTTCTAACGTTCACACATATCTAACCTAAACTTAAATTTTAATTCGAAAAAATGAAACACTGTGAAACGCGTGTTAAATCTGAAAATTATTAAAAAATTGTTGGCTGTGCAGCACCCTTTTGTAATAATTCAACAGCCAAAGTTATATAATGAAAGAATTTCCTAAAGACAGTGAATGTCGTGCTTTATGGGCAAAAAATGTGGTGAGAATAAATTGAACGCCAAAAAGCTGTTCGTTTCTCTGCAAGGTTAAGTGACATTTGTGTTTTTCGACATATGGTATAAGAAATTTTATTAATTCCTTATAAATTCGTTGTATTGTTTAAATTAAAAAGTGATACAAATATAAGTAAAGTGAAGGCCATCACACGTACAAAAATTTTAGTCGTAATCATAGGTTGCAAGCAAATCAACCAATCACAATCAAAATTACGATCTCGCGTTTAAAAACGCTCGACTGTGATTGGCCGATTTGCTTACGGCCTTACGATTAGAACTAAAATTTTTGTACGTGTGATGGCCTTAAGGTTCCGTATTGGTGCTGCCATTGTGAGAGCATCAAGTCACGTGTACCAATCACGCGGAATCCCGAATGTCCAGACTCTCTATTTCTAGGGACTTTAGTCAAGAACGAATCACAGCATCTCGTCAATGCTGCGACGAACCTAATTGGTTCTGTATCTGTTTGGAGCGCTGATGGGCGCACGTTTCTAGGTTTGTTCGCGTCGCATGCTCCAACATGTTCCAACAAGCTTCTACCATAGCTCTTACTCACTCTATCAAGCGCGTTGAATTGAAATTTGACCAATAAGGACAAAGAAATTTTAGCTCCTTTCGTTTCGATTGGTCAAATTTCAATCCTTCAACCTCAATCTTCAATGCGTAGTCTGATTCCGGCCTAATGCGGGGTCTACAATAGAAGTCGTAGAAAATTGATCAATCACAGTCAAATATGAGAAGAATAATCGACTGTGATTGGTCAATTTTCTACGACTTAAGACCCTACGACCGCTACGACTTCTATTGTAGACCCCGCATAAAGGCATCTTTTCATGTTGACGCTTGACGCTCATTTTCGGCGTTAATATAAATCACGTGATAGAAATTGACGAATATCAAGCGTTAATTTTGATCACGTGACCTATTTTGACGCTGAAAATGAGCGTCGAGCGTCAGCATGAAAAGGCACCTTAAGAGCTATGGTAGGAGTATATTGGAACATGTTGGAGCATGCGACGCGAACAAACCTTAGGTCTGTTCACGTTGCATGAAATCCCCAAATATTTTTGCACTTAAAATGAGATAGATATATATTTGGCCTTGAAAAGAGAGAAAGCGAAGATGTCGAGTGCCAAAAGTGCAAGCAACGCGAACAGACCTCTTCTGTATCCTCGATCGCGACGTGCAAATCCCCCTCCCCCCCCCAGAGAGCCCCTCACGGCCCTGGTCTAGTTGTTGCGTCGCGTGAAGTTGTCTCGTAGGGTTGACGGGGATGAGCCAGCGAGCGGTGTGAGCTCAAGGCGGATTCGTTAATTCGGGACGCTGGTTCGGAGATCATGTAGCTTATTGCAACGAGTTTCCGGACAGTCGTTTTCCGTGATTCTCTTAGCGTAGGAACCGGCTCGCATTAGCAACGTTGTAAGAAACGAGCCCGTTCGCGTTCCATGACTTCTCCACTCGATCACACGTGAGTAAAACGCACTTTGACATTTCGCCTCGCGACGCGGCACGCGGCGACTCCGCGTCCGCGTGAGATACGCGATCGACCGAATCGTCTCGAAGTTCACGTAAACCCGAGGTTTCTCGACGATTCTCGACGAGCGTATGCGAGACTGGACAGACGGGAAAGCTCGTGCACGTGAAACGCGCTCCCCGTCCGTCTGTTCGACGAAACGGGAAATATAGGACATGGTAACATGGTTTTAGGTTAACAGAAGATGACAGTATTAGAAACGGAGGAAGACGCAGATAAACGCTCGGTTCCTCCTAGAAAGAAGTTCTGCTTGTCCCTGTCCGGCCGCGGACGTGCAATTCCCATTGTCGTCCCGCAGCCCCCTCCTACATCCACAAGAGGGGGCCTTCTGGATAGAACAGATTTTTCATTTAGTACGTATACTTCTTATTTATTCTCATTTATTAATGATACCTTATTTATAATCGCCCAGTTAACAAAAGTAACAGTAACATAATATCAATATTATAATTTTCACTCAACAATCTTAAACCTCTATTTCACTCAACAATTCTATATAGCACAAATGTTCTAAAAACGTTCCTATATTTTAACATTTCTATGTTTCTTGGATGTTGTATAGGATGTAACTTATGTATAACATATGTCATTCTATTTGTATTATTGAGTATGAATTCATAATGTTGGCATTATATTAGCATTAATTGGTGTTTACTAGATTATTGCATTTGTAATTGCCTAATAAATATAAAGCAATAATAGTATAACATCAATATTATAATTTCATATTCAATAATGTAACTAGTATGTACAACATATGTTATATTTATTGCTGAATAGAATTACAACATTGATATTATGTTATTATTTGTTATTTTTATTGGATAGTGTATGATTTCAATTGAAACATATCTTTGATTATATTTTGATTCTGTAAAGGTACAAGCAAAATGTTGAATGGCTATCGAAATCAGGTTAGCAATTATCAGGATGGAAGTTACGACATGTCTGGTACCAGTTCGGAAGGATTGAAGATAGCCACTTTATGCAATCTAGGAAATACCTGCTTCCTCAATAGTGTATTATATACTTTACGATTCGCGCCTTCCTTTCTGCACAATTTACATCATCTAGCCACTGACTTGTCTAACCTAAATGATAAGCAACTTCAGACAAAAGTAATTACTAAATAAACAGATTAATTTGTTCTAAAACGAAATTGTTTTGTTTATGTATACATGTTAATCCAAATTTTAAATTATCAATATTTCTTTTTGTAGGCCAAATCTTCTTCATTAGGTAGAACCGGTGTATCGTTAACATCGAGCAGTAGTCGTAGTTGGAGCAGTAAAGATCTATTGGCATTAGCTGGGTCAACATCAGAAGCCAATAAACCACGTATTCAAATAGCCACTGAAAGATTACACGAGCTCTTTATGGCACTACGAGCTTCGGAAGTACGAGAGAATAGCGAACCGTATCAACCGGATGCCTTTTTACAAGCTCTTAGGTATGTATGCTGATATCAAATTGTAAATATGTTTTGTGTTTACATTACTTTTGCATTGATTTTCTTGTAGAGAAGTAAATCCAATATTTGAAGGAAATCAGCAGCAGGATGCTCACGAGCTGCTAGTCTGTTTGCTTGATAACATTAGAGAGACTTTTCAATTATTGGTCAGATATAGAGAGAGCCAATTCGGTCAAAGCAACGGTGGTTTTCCTGAATTTACCGCAAATCACTCGTCGACAGACACACAGTCAGAGAGCAGCAGTTCCGGGAAGAGAAGCATTCGTAAGTCCAGAAAGAAGAAGAAGATTACGAGCAGAGGGAGTTCGGTATCTCTTGCGCAGCCAAATACGAACGGCGTCGTAGGACCCGCGAGACTGTATGAGAACGGTCACGCAGAGTTTGTCGAAAGTAACGGCGAGATTGGAATACGTAAGCCGGAAAGCAAGAAATGTTTTATCTCAGAGGATTTTGAAGGTGTCAGCCTATTGCGCACAACATGTCTCGAATGTGAACACGTGACGGAAAGGAAGGAGACATTTTGCGATATATGCGTTCCCATTGACATCGATCGTTCGAATGAGAAAGGTATGCACTTAATTTCTATTCGTAGTACATGTGAGATCAAAAAGATATGCTATTATTAATAATATCGTTTGAGCTCGTGCGACATATTTTTCTAACTTTGTGTAAAGTACTTTGTATAATCAAAGGAATAGAGGATAGACAAAAGAGTAAGGGAATAAAAGAATAAGAGCGAGCTCTCTGAAGTTTTTTTTTCGAAAGATGGAATAACCTAGCTTAAATGTTTTATACATTCCATAATTAATCTGTAATTCATAGTAACGTGACTTTTCTTTATAGATAATGATGGTGAATTGGTGGATAGCAGTGAGGTATACAAACGCGCTGTAGTGACTAGTGAATTGCTTTGGGGTAGGGATAAGTACTGGTGTGCACGGTGCCTACGGTATAATGAAGCTCGTAGAGCCGTATGTTTTCCTTCCTTACCCAGACTCCTTATCTTGCAGTTGAAGAGGTTTTCTACTGCTGCTGGGTAAGTCTCGTACGATCTTTCAGTACAATTAGAAACAATAAATAACTGAAAAATATAGTTCAAAGTTTATAAAAAATATCAAAAAATATTTGCATATTTTAACATTCGTAACAATCATAAAAGTAGCAGCTGCATTAAAATTACAAATGTTTTGCTAATTAATTTTCTTTAAGAAATTTATCACACATAATTTTGCTTTTGAGTCCTTACATTTATTATATTGAAAAACTTTTGCAATATTTTGCATTGCGATTGCAGTCTAATTTACTTTTTCAGTTCGATGGAGAAAATCAATAATCACATGCCCACGCCACTTACCTTGCAATGCTTCTGCGAGGAGTGCAGTAATGATGAGACCCATGGGACGACAGCTGGTAGTAGCACGGAGACGCGACACGTGTACAAATTATATTCGGTTATAATGCACCAAGGTGCAACGATGACCGCCGGTCATTACGTCGCTTATACACGTTTACCCGACGAACCTGCGTACGCGGAGTATTCCCAATGCGATCGCGACAATAAACGGCAGAATTTGAGTCAGGCTGGTACCGCGAGCGCGAACTCGTCATCGTCTTCTTCCTCTTCAGACAAACCATTGGGTATACTTAAGTACTTGTACAGAAGCAAGCCCAGCACAAACGAGAATAAGGAACAGCTGGTGAATAGGATCGGCTGTCGTAGCATGGACTGTTGCGGCATTAAACGAAATAAACAGGGCGTCACATGGCTGGAGTGCGACGATGAGGCGGTACACGTGATCCCACTGCGAGAACTCGAGGACAAATTAGCGCCCAACGCGCGGAATTCCGCCACCCCTTATCTCTTGTTCTACGTGAGGTCGACGACGTAAGCCGCCGTTTTTTGTCTCCCTCCCGCGACGGAAGTTTAATATCAAAATGTCTCGGTTTGGAATTCCAAGCGAGGCAACGAGCACACGATGACAAAAACGGGCCTCGTTCTTCCCATACTTGCCCTCTCTTCCTTCTCCTCTCCCTCTTCTCTTCCTCCGTATTCTCCAATAATTACGCGCTGTGATGTATCGCACATTCCAGATCACCCGAGTTCTTCTTCCTCTATACGTGCCGCATCGGGTTTTAGAGAGGCGAGCGTGTATTATTTTCGTAGGAAGTAAAACTGTCTATCGCCAATCATGTTACGTAAGGTAGAGTCCCGGCGAGATCGGGTGGTATACGAATCGACCTCTGTATATGTAACGAAACACCATCGAGCTCGATTTAACGAATCGTAAAGCGAGCGACGCGATTCCGCGCGTAGACGACTTAGCCTTAGTTGGGACGTGGAACGTTTTATCATTCAGTTATCTGTAAAATAAAAAAAAATTATGTATTCTTGACACACCTGTCTATCGCACGTGCTTTGTGCCGTATCGTGAGATGGAGGCACCTGACCCAATCCTTAGAAAATCTACAAGCGACTTTATACCGATAGACGTCATTGGCGACGTAGCTTGAATATTTTAGAACGTCGTTTATTACAAACGTCTATCGTTCCACAAGTACTTTTCGATATTAATCGATCACACGCTGGAAAGTAGCTACAATTCAATTTCCATCTGTTTGAGTAAATAAAGAGTTCTTCACGTGAATCAATCTTGAATTACAATATAATGAAAAAGAGCTATTGATGCACGATCGATGGAAAGAAATTCTTTTCATCCTCATAGCCGTCAGCGAACTCTGCTAAATTCCAGTTAGGAATAAATTCGGCGAAATTTTATCTTTGCCGTATATGCACATACGGTCTTTCGTAATGTCGCGTGTACACATGCTGAAATATTTGTATAGTGTCAGCTCAATCATACGTGGCTACATCCATATATCGATCATTTCCATAGGGGGTCAGTAGTGGAGTAACGTTCCACCTGTCAGTCGGACACATAGTAGTTCCTACTACTTCCAGACGTGATACATTCAGTAGTTCATATCTCTTAGGTGAAGTACGTTCCTACATGGCTATGTTCTCGTCGACATTCCTCGAGTAAGGCAAAAGGCAAGTGGCTAAATTAATTAAATAATATTTTTTATACTTGAAGATTTACTTAGCAAAATGTATGAATAAGAAACCAATTTGATCAAAACTTTTTGTTCCTATAATATAACGTTTGTTAATTAATTTGGAAAAAGTCGTATAATGTTAATTTTTATAACAACTAATTTTTTTTATTTTTATTAAAATATAATTACGAATTTATATCTTTTATAATGAGTGCTGCATTAATTTATATTGATATCTATTACTTTGTATATTTTAGAGAAATACTTGAAAAATATCCCTGGTGAAAAAAATTTCGCTGAAATTATTCCACGTTTTGGAACATTTCAGCGAAATTGCTGAAAATTTGCTGAAATTTTACTGAAAGTGAATTTTTCAGCTAACATACTGAAAAATCGTTGAAATTAAACTGAAATTACTCTAAAATTTTGCTGAAATTTTGCTAAAAATGAATTTTTCGGTTAAAAATCGTTAAAATTAAACTGAATTTTTCTGAAATGCTGAAATTTTATCGAAAGGTATTCCAAACGTGGAATATATTTCAGCGAAATTTTTTCACCAGGGATCTATTTCACAGCATATTATTTAAAATATTATTTTGCCACGTATTATTTAATGCAACGCTATTACTAATAAATTTCATAAAGAAAAAATTCTGTATTATAATTTTTACATTTCAATAACGGTATCCAAATTTTACGTTTCAAACATTTACATATTTTGCGTTTAGAATTTCTTAATGAGTTTTCTTCTTTTTGTGCTTTTTTTCGAGTACACAACGTGTCCGAGACATATTCGTTCGTAATTATTAAGCATCGAATTCATTATCATTATGGTGAGTAAAGTAATAAGGAAATAATTGTATATTGACGTAAACACACAATTTTCACCATTTTCGAAAGTTACGTAAATCGTGTGCAAACAGTTTCTATCGCGAAAGACCTAGCAAGGACATCGGCACGATGCATAAATCATCTTCCTTTGGCCTCTCAATATTAATAACTTCCGCGATGAGGATCTTAATGGAAATTTCAAGCTTTCTTTTTCACGCCGTATATATTGTATACATTCGCATTCTGAACGTGATCGATACACAACAGTCGCAAAGACACCGATAAACTGATGTCGCGACGCGACGTGATATATCTGAGCACGCTGTTCACGAAACTGTAACGCGTCATCGAAAATATTTCGTTTCCGTCGAGGAACCGTTTGTCAACGTTATCGAAATGAATCAACCCAAATACGTCCAGCGTTTCGTCGCGGGATACGGATTTCAACGTCGTCCTCCCCGCGATGTGTTTAAAGCACACGGCGAGACCCGTAGTAGGTCACTTATCACCACGTATAATCGCCTAGTCGAGTCTGCAACTGCAACGTAGTGCACTGTCTCGTGAATGATATACTTATGCAACACTAGAGTTGAATGATATAGGCATGAGAAAAAGAGAATATCGCACGCATTATTTGACCGCAAAATCAATGACGCGCTTTGCATAAGAGTCACCAAGTTAACAAGTCGTGAATAAAGAACGACTTTTTTTAACAAAAGATTCTGACAAGGGAACGCAATCAGCCAACTGTCCATCTTTGATTTTTAATAAGTTTTGGATACGTTAAAATATTAATAAAAATAAAAGACGCGATTTTTTAAATATGTGTTAAGTGTCACACGTTAAGAGGGTGGAAAAATCACTGCTTTGAAAAAATTGATTTTTTCTTTCAGAGAATATCGATTAAACTATGAAAGATATGAAAAACCATTTTAAATAAAAGTTGAATAATTTTAAGAATATATATATATACTTTATAAGAATAATTAAAAAATATTTTTTTAATTTTTTTCATTTATTGAAAAATAAAAATTTGTTTAAAAATTCTTTCTATTATTATTATAACTCTTGCAACTATTCAATTTTTATTTGAAACATTTTTTATATTTTTTATAATTTAGACGATATTCGCTGTGAAAGAAGAAACTGATCTTTTTTTCTTAAGAGAGAGTTTCACTCCTTTAATGTGCGACTCAGCTTATAAAAAAAAATCATAACCTTCATTTTTGTTTATATTTTAACATATCCAAAGTTCATTACAATATTAAAATCGAAGAGGAACAATAGCAGATGTTCCCTTTTGTGAGAGCATCTCCTGAAGTCGTGGAATAAAAGCACATAATTTACTTTAAGTTTTATGTAGAAATCAATAAAATTTCATAAACCACTTTTATCTATTACTCACATAAAATTTAAAAGAGGGAATTTCAATACTTTTAGTTTAGTTGACAAACGATAGCACAAACATTTTCTCAAGACATTTCTTCATTAAGTAAAATTGCTTATCTTCGTATTGCTCAAATCGTTATTCGTATTATTCCCGCAAAATACGAACAGTAATATATTACATTTATTTTATAATTTCCCACTCAACAATATATTGTGTAATATAACACATGCTGTACATAACCGCAATTAAGTCTACTCTACAATGTGATCTTTAATTCCTGTTTTTTTTTTGCTTTTTTTCCACTTTTTACTTCTTGTCTTCTTGCCTTTTACTCAGTTCCTTCATTTTCTGTCACCTGAGACAAAAGTATTGATGAACTTCGTATGAGATAAGAAACACGTAAAAATAAATGCGATTGTCGATAAAACGGTCGCGAAGAAGATAAAAAAGGAATGAGCAAAAAATAGGAAGCAAAGAACATTGTGGATTAGGAACACTGTAAGATAGAAAATTATAACATAGATATAATATTCTTATTAGTTTGTGTTCTGCGAATTGTTACAAGTATTTTAATTTAAATAAGATTAAAATTATTTTAAAATTATTTCCATGGTTGTGCTTCTTGCAGGAATATTTAAATTGAATTAATTATCATTATGAAGCACCAACAAGTAACCGTAGACATGACGAACATGGTGTTTACCGCTTGCTCCTATTTGGCACTCGCTGGAGCGGTTTGGATATTTTTGCGGCTGATCCAGGCCTGTTTTTGGCTACCGAAACATTTGAAAAGGCAAAATGATGTTCAAAGAATGTTGCAAGATAAGGTAAACTTGACGGTCTTTCAATAATTTTAATTACTTGTGTTTTTCTTAATCGATGCATACGCATAATGTAAACCAATACACATTGTTAACGATATATGAAGTACATAGGCCAACATATATATGTAATTAATACTACTTTAGGTGGACAGTTATGAGAAATATGTGTTAGAATGCGAGGAGAAGGAAAGGACAGAAATGTTGGATCAGATTGATGATGAGAAGAAGAGTCTCGAGATGTCGGAGAAATGGAAGGAACGAAGGGAATGCCTCGACATGCTTAAACGAGAATTAGAAAGAGTTCGCGAAGGTAAAGACATGTCAGATTGGGACGCCTTGCTGGACGAGGAATTGAAGAAGCACGAACTGGAGTCGAAACTTCTGGAGGAGGAAGAAGAAAAAGAAGACTCTAAGAACGACGCTAGTAAAGAGAAAAGCGACAGTGAGAAAGAAACAAAGAAAGTCGAGATCGATACCGAACTAAAGAAGAAGAAGTAATGACTGTATGTGTTTTGAAAGTGCCTTACCGAGACTTTACGATAGTTGTTTCTTATGAAGGAACAATTGCGTGAAAACAAAAATCTCCCCCCAAGCAAATAAATTTTCGAAATATTCCGTACTAAATGCTCATGTATGGCGTATAATAATCAAATAGTCACAAAATGCTTAGTAAAATCGGAATTCAGAGGATACCAATTTTTTACTGATTTGATGATATTTTACTGAAAATTTATTTATTTTCTTAATGAGATTCTAAAGCCGTCTGTATTACCGACTAAATCGTAATTTTTGTATAACAATTACTTTTTTCCTCGTTTACAGATTCGAAAATTCTTTTCCGGGATTAAACTATACGCATTAATACTTGTCTGTGAGGTGGAGTTAACGCCGAGAACGATAAAAAATTTTTCTTAAAATTTTAATTTCGAAATATTTTGTCGTTCTCGGCATAAACTCCACCTTACAGACACGTATTAATACGTATACTTTAATCATGGAAAAGGATTTTCAAATCTATAAAAGAGGAAAAAAGTAATTGTTGTATACAAAAATTACGATTTAGTCGGTAATACAGACGGCTTTAGGATCCCCTTAATATATATATATATATATATATAATTTTATTAATTTTCAATAATCGTTAGAAATGGAAAGTAATTTACATAAAAAATTGCAATAACAATGTATACTGTAACAACCGTGTAATAGCAATCGCATTACAGTTAAAGAGAGATAAATAGCTGCAAGTACGCGCAATACATGTAAATGTGTTCCCAAAGCAGAAATTACAAACAACTATTACTTTTACACACACATAAAATATATACATATAATATATATGCATATTACACATGTATGATACACATACGTATGTCCAGTAAGCAAAAAACATTTTAACGTTGCTACAATGTTACTGAGATGTTCCAAAATGTTTCTTGTCTACTGGGTGTAATTAAGAAAAGTAGTAACTTATTAATCCGAGACATTTATAATCCGAGAGTGAAAGTGAATTAGTTTAAACATATGTACAAAATATTGTATTTGTTTGTCGCCCTTGTCGTCATTACCGGGATCAATATATGCAGAACAAATCGTGAACATCTACCTCGAGGAATTCGTTTTTAATACATATGATATCACATTATCGATATTCCCTCTACATGCGCATTAATATACGTCACAATTTACTTAACCGTTACGAACTGCGGCAGCGCTCCTATAATGGGCTCGATGCTCAATCGTAAATAATGCAAGTGACATCGTATTTACTCACGTATGTACATCTCATCGTGATGAACAAACTTGACGATATTAGCGGCATTACGTTATATACATTTATTATTGCGTTCAGTCGTGTGGATATTTTACGATATGTTTTAGATAGGGAACACGTTTTCGCAACTATAAGAAAATAATTAATTATATTATAGAAAAAATATATTATATATTGCAATATATGACAATTTGTATGTATACGACGTGTAATTTGTTGACTCTGTGTTTTTATATTACAACATTAATATTATAGACATTTGAAACGTACACGCAACACACACGCAGTAACCTTTGTTGTAGAATCAATAAAATGATTATAGTAATTAGATATTCGAGAACTAATATTTTTTTTTAATTTTCTATTATGTTGATTTATGAATAACTTGTTTTAGTAAAAGTCAGCTGGTGGCAATTATGTCTGTTTAGCTGCTCAGTATTGTGAAATGTTGCTCCATCACTAAACAAGACATATCTAAAGAAATTTGGATCGTTTCGCAACATTTTTTGCGACCACCTACAAAATTCTACGTATCATGTCGTTATTAGACAGTGCCTGTGTGAGAGTCACATGGTAAGGGTGATACTTTAAAGATCGTAATAATCTGGAAGCTGTATTTCTTGGAATGCCTTATTCCTGTGTAAAAAGATCGAAGACTTCTTCACAAAATTCAATATTATAAAATGCTGCAGTGATGAGTGGCTT